ATATATATTTATTTATTTTTTTTAAAAAAGACTAAACTGTTAATTTGTGAAAAAAAGATCTGATTGTACTCAAAAACCCAGAGGACATACAGATTTGCCAACAAAAATTTATTTTTTTAGGCCTCTTAAGCACACGTGATTAATATATGGTTTGGTAGTTAAAAACTTACTATAAGCACTGATTTTTCCTCTGGCATGCAATTAACATAAATTTTCTATAAAAGCTACTTTGTTTTAAAGATGAAGGGAAAAACCCAACAAGCACTAAGAATTTTAGGTATGAAAAGAACAGAAAACAATCAAAGACTCTTTAGAGAGAGAGAAATAACACAGCAAAGGCAAAATCGTTTACCTAGCTGGGTGACAGAAAACAAACTGCTCCTTGGTTATAAGAGGCAATGGGGGAGGAAAGGTAAGGCTTTCTGCTACTTACGTCTACATTCAAAATGTCTACAATGGGATCCTCAGAAGGAAAGTTGGGCAATCTACTTCTGTAGTGATACTGCCTCAGAAACCCAAGGAGGAGTCGCTGTGAGTTGGGTCTGACTCAATGGCAAATAACAACAAACAACACAGTGGGATCCTAAACTACCTTTCCAGTCTGACCATCTCCTACTTCTTAAATATTCTACTCTGTGTCAAATGGATTAAATAACCTGCTGGGCTTTTTCAAAAATTTATGGCAGTTAGTGATACTAGTTAGAAACTAACCTAGACCAGAATTCAGGGCTGGCCTCTTCTCTGCACCTTTCTGTCTCCCTTCTGCAAACTGGCCAACTCTTCAGGGCCCACATGTTCAAAAGCCACAGGTACTTCAAGCTGGTCTTCATGGCTCATCACTTCTCTTTTCCTCAGAATAGTTCTTAACCTTACCGAAAGATTAAATCCCCCAGCCCTGTGGTCAATGCTTAAGTATTGAAATTATGCCTTCGGCATAGTCAGAATAAGAATCATGAAGGCATCAGTCATTTCAGGATAGGCTTACAATCACTTTAAATCTAAAGAGAAATTCCTAATCTGCATCCTTTCCCTGATCTCACTTCACTTTTTGTTTAAACAATTGCTTATAATACAAAATGGGTTAATTAGAAAAGTTCAAAGCTCCTTTCTAAACAAAACCTTTCTTTCAGGTAAAACAGATGATCAGGATACTCTAATCTAGAGGTCTGCACACTTTTTCTGCACAGGACCAGATAGAAAATACGGCTTTGTAGGCCATATGGTGTCTGTTGAAACTATTCAACTTTGCTACCATGGTGGTGAATGCAGTCAGAGGCCGGGTAGTTTGTTAACCCTTGTCTTATCCCACCTCTGAATCTGCATGCTTTTGTTGCAATTAAAATGCCTGTTCCTTCTCATGAGCTTATTCAAATCCAACCATATTGAAAATAAATAAATGTCTACCTTCTGATATTACCTAATTCTACTCATTTGTAAAGTAACTTTCCATAATATTTTACATACTTTACACATTTAAATTATCACTAAGTCTCCTTTCAAAGGAGGGAATTTATGTTAGGAAAAAGAAAGGAATGGGGTAAAGAGGTAAATGAGAAGAATTAATGCTAAGTCCCTTGATACACACACTTCTGGTAAAACAGGTTCTACTGCCAGACTATATTTCTGTAGTAATTCCACAATCCTGCATGCAAACACGTACCCTAAAACAATGCCTGCCACTCTATGTTGTTTATCACAAAAAGCCCAGCTAACTGAGCTTTGGTGGTGTAATACCTAAGGCACTTGACTGCTAACCAGAAGGTTGGTGGTTCAAATCAATCAGCCACTCCTCGGAAAGAAGGTTGGGCAATCTACTTACACAGAGATACCGCCCTGGAAACCCAAGGAGGGGTCACTATGAGTCGGAGATGACTAGATGGCACATAACAACAACAACAACTGCTAAAGAGAGGAGCCCTGGTGGCACAGTGGTTAGGTGCTTCGGCTGCTAACAAAAAGGCTGGTGGTTCAAACCTACCAGCCGCTCCATAGGGCAAAGATGTGCCACTCTGCTTCCGTAAGGATTTATTTTCAGCCTAGGAAATGCTATGAGGCAGTTATACTCTGTCCCATAGTGTTACTATGAGTCAGAATCAACTCGATGGCAATGGATCTGATTTGGTTTTTGGTAACTGTCAGAAAAAAAGCAAACCTTTTAGAATTCCAAGGGCATTGTTATCCAAGTGTGGTGTTTTCAAGGTTGTTAAGTGATGTAAAAGCACAACAATATAGTTCAACATTTAAAAAAAAAATTTAACCTCCTGTCCCCCAATAAAGTATTTTCTTTGACTACCAGGCTAATTTCTGGTATCCTAGCAACACCTAAGGATTCCTGTGTGTCACAAACACATACAGTAATAATAACAGAGGGAAAGTAGAGTGGTAAACTCAAAGCACCTACCAGGCCCAGCACCATCCTCCATTTTTCTCTTTTTCTTCTTTTTCTTTTTTGATTCTGAATCGGGAGGCTGTGTTGCTGCTTCCCCATTGGTTAAAATAGCAGATTTCTTGGGGATTTTTTTACTTTTTACATTTTCCAGTTTTTCTTTAGAAATGTCTCCATTTTGGGATCCTGACAAGTGCATATTCATAGACTGTTTTAGGGTTTTTTTATCTTTTCCACTTCTCATGGTTTCTTCAGGTAAGTCTCCATTTTGAGCTTCTGACAGGTTCACAATCGAGGCCCCTGTTTAAAAATAAAGAGGTTTACATAGGAACACTGAAATACTGAATGAGAAATTAAATTTTATAGTTTACAGAACTGAAGTTATTTAGCTTCTTCTTCCCATTCATGTACATTATTAAGACCACTTATAATTTTATGGTGTTCTAATAAAACAAAACTAAGCATCTTTAAGAAAAATGCTGCAAAGGAGAAAGCCTGCATTGAATTCTTCTTTTCAAAAGAACAAACCGTTATCATTATGGATAATGATGTCCCTGTTCAGGACAGGAAAACTTTACTGAGGGCATAGGGCACTCAGGCGATGGCAGTTACAAAACAAACATTTTAATATTAGATACCTGATAAATGTATGACTGATATATTGAAAACAGACATTGACATCTTATTCACATAACTACTGTTTCACATACACATATAACTCCAACATTCAACTCAACTTTCCTAGATGGCAGTGAGTTGAGAATACATTTGATGAAACAACTTATTTGTCCTAATATTTAACATATACAAATGTATGCCTCAGAATATCTTTACCAAAGTTTTCCTGTTTATATGTATCAAAAAAAGTAATCAGCACATTTTATTCAAATATTTATGTACAGCTACATTGAGTAGTTACACTGTTTTACTCAATAATAATAATAAAAAAAACCTCACTGCTGTCGAGTAGATTAAACTCATAGCGACCTCTCCTTGGGTTTCTGAGGCAGTATCACTACGGAAGTAGATTGCCCAGTCTTCCTTCTGAGGAGTGGCTGGTGGGTTTGAACCGCCAGCCTTCTGGTTAGCAGTCAAGTGCCTTAAGCACTAAGCCACCAGAGCTAGGAAACTGGATATATAAGGTGACTTCCAAACATACTTAAACTCACACAGCAGTCACCTCCAGCATTTCTTTCAAACAATTAATGTCTGTTGTATACCTAGTGGGGTGAGGCGCTTATCCGGAATGGAAAAGGTTAACAATAACTTCGAGATCGCTAGCTCACTCTCAGCATTGCAAACGACATTGACATTCCTGTAAATCTCTTTCACTTAAGTCTTTGTGCAGGGCATAATCATGTACAAACTGTTAAGGAATTATAATCCAGGGTTGGAAATGAGGGGAGTTTCTCGGTGAGAAACTTTTGCGTTCTCGGCGAGAAACAATTTGCGTTCGACGTGCGCTGAAGACTTTCAGAGCTGACTATCAGAAGTGCTGCAGAGGCCGAGAGAGCGAGAGGGTGGCGGGGAAGGAAGCTTTGTGAAGAGTGACACAAATACTTTCGAAGAAATATAGAAATGAAATAGACAATTTGGAAGGAAGGTGTGTGGGAATAAGAAAACTCCACATGTCTGGTTGGAAATGGAGGAGGGATGGAAGTGAGGTAGGGCTTGAAAGTGGCTCGGGGTTAGTATGTGGAAATGTATAAGTCCGGTATAGCTCGGAGTGCTCTCGGAGGCCTGGAAAGTTTCCCATTCTAACTCCGTAAGGAAAAACTAACGCTCAGAAGGCCAGCGGCAGATCTGGGGCCAAGCAGCCAGTCAGTACAGAACGCGACTTATCGCTGCTCCAAGCTACCTTTCCATGTGAGCAATCACAAGTGTTCTTGGGGAAGCAGTTCGCCAAACCGGAGCCGCGTGGGGTCTCAAATGGCACGACCCTTACCGCTCGACCCCGCAGTCGCGCTACAACCCTTTCAGTAACTGTAGCCACGGGGACCCTCAGCGCATCTCACCCTGTAGCTTTAGATTTCGTTGCCGCAATTTCAGGTTCCGCTTCTCAATCTTCTTGCGCAAGAGTTTCATCGGTAGGTGAGACATGATGTCGGAAGAACACCTTCACGCGGTACCGTAGCTCGAGTCCTGCATGCCAGGCAGACGGTACTTCTTCCGGGACGCATGTGCCCTCCTCCGCCAACCGGAAAGCGGAAATACGTCAAGAAAACTACCGGACCACTGAGAGAAAAATGCTTCCGGGGCGCATGCGCGACGGTACCTTTTGTAACCTAACTGGTTTCTGTGCTCCGCCCTTAGGGGACCGGAGACCTGGACAGGCATAGGGTTACGTTGAGATGGTTGTTGTTGTTGTTGTTATGTGCTGTCGAGTTGGCCCCGACTCATAGCGACCCCTCCTTGGGTTTCCGAGGCAGTATCACTGCGGAAGTAGGATTGCCCAACCTTCCTTCCGAGGAGTGGCTGGTGGGTTTGAACCGCCAGCCGTCTGGTTAGCAGGCAAGTGACTTAGCCACTATGCTACTAGAGTATATTAGAGCATTTGGGAGTATTGGGAGTTTAATATCAGAATTTAATATAAGGAGCTTAGTCTCGAGGGAAACTGAAGAGACAAGGCTAAGAGGAAAGAAATAAGGATTCTCCGTTTTTATGTTTCTACTGTTTTTGGACCCTGGACTATTTGGGAAGTTGAATAAAACCTGAACTTCGTATAGCAGTGCTTCCAAACTCAAGTTTGACCATGCTCCTCAGTGAGAAATACACCCCATGACCCTCGGTTCACATGCACGTATTTTTTTTCAAAACAACACATTTACACTTGGTTACACCCTGATAAGTAGCCCTGGTGGGATAGTGGATAAGGCATTAAGCTGTTAACCAGAAGGTCAGCAGTTCAAAGTCACCAGCTGCTCTGTGGAAAGAAAATGGGGCAATCTAATTCTGTTAAGATTAACAGCCTAGAAACCCAATGGAGGTTTCTATGAGTCAGTATTGACTCAATGGCAGTGAGTTTTGGACACTCTGATAATTGTCCTTCCATTCCATCATAGATTATTCTTAGTCCATTAAAATGCTGATTACTATGCATTTAAATCAATTTTAATTACAGCGTTAATGAGTTGGCTGCAGTTTGGAAAACAGAGGTTTCCAAATCCCCAAAGCTCACCCTCCAGGAATCCAAGACAGAAATTGCAATGCTGCTAGCCATTAGGCATCTTTTTTTGGTTTTGTTTTAGTGGTGGTGGTGGTGGGGAACATAAAGTGTTTGTTGTTGTTGTTATGTGCCATCGAGTTGGACTCGACTCATAGCGACCCCTCCTTGGGTTTCTGAGGCAGTATCACTACGGAAGTACATTGCCCCATCTTCCTTCAGAGGAGTGGCTGGTGGGTTTGAACTGCCAGCCTTCTGGTTAGCAGTCAAGTGCCTTTAGCCACTATGCTACCAGAGCTTCTGTTACCAACACTAAACATTTGCACTTCATATAAAAGTGCTATATCTTTGTGTTAGGCTGGGTTTTCTAGAGAAGGAAAACCAGTAAAGCTTTTAAATAAACCCCACTGCCATGGAGTTGGATATAACTCACAGTGACTCCTCCTTGGGTTTCCAAGGCAGTATCACTATGGAAGTAGATTGCCCAACCTTCTTTTTTCGAGGAGTGGCTGGTGGGTTTGAACTGCCAGTCTTCTGGTTAGCAGTCAAATGCCTTAGGCACAACACCACCAGAGTTCCTAGCTTATATATACATATAGAGAAAGAGAAGTTTATCTTAGGAAAATGGCTTACCCACTTATAGAAGCTGGCAAGTCCCAAGTTATTGGAGCAAACATCAAGCTGGAAGCTTTTCCTGACTCACGCAGCTGCAGGGGCTGACGAGCTCAAGATTGGCAGGCAGTTGACCCCAACGAATGATGAATCCAAGATCTCCAGGCCGAATGGTGGATTGTTCACTCACAGACAGTTGCAGGCAGCATAACAGGATCCTGATCCACAGAAGAGTGTCTCTTTTCCCAGGATGTCTGCAAATATATTGGAAGCAGGCCACACCCCTAGGGAAACTCCCTTTCAATGGATTGGCTGCTCAAACATACACATCCAATCCCATCATGGGAATAACCCACATCACAATAGCTTAAATCACACAGAATTGTGTGTGGTCTAGTGAAGTTGACACACAGCTCCAACTAACCCAATCTTCTATTAAAAAGTGGGCCTAAGTGGGCTGAAATTCTTCTTGGCAATAATCAGTTTAATATGAATAAGTGCTGAGTCAATGAAAAGATTAATTTGGTTACACAGAGGGGCAGGGCACAAACCCCTGGGTATTAGACAAGCTCCTAAGGAGGAAAACTTGGAAGGGAGCTTAAACAGAATGTGAATGAATTGGTGTTGATTGTAGAACCAAGTAATATGAAGTCCTTGACAACTTCAATCTTTTTTCTATCCATCATGAAGCTGTTATTGGACCAGTTGGGAGGATTTTTCTTTTCTTTATATGGAAGTGTAATCCATACTTCAGACTGTAATCTTTAATCTTCATCAGTAAGTGCTTCAAGTCATCCTCACTTTCAGCAAGCAAAGTTGTGTCATCTGCATATTGCAGGTTGTTAATGAGTCTTCCTCCAATCCTGATGTCATGTTCTTCTTCATATAATCCAGTTTCTCGTATAATTTACTTAGCATACAAGTTGAATAAGTATGGTGAAAAGATATAACCTTGATGCACTCGTTTCCTGATTTTAAACCATGCATTATCTCCTTATTCTGTTTTAATGACAGCCTCCTGATCTATGTACAGGTTCCTCATAAGTACAATCAAATGTTCTATAATTCCCATTCTTCTCAATGTTATCCATAATTTGTTATGATCCACAAATTGAATGCTTTTGCATAGTCAATAAAACACAAGTAAACATCTTTCTGGTATTCTTTGCTTTCAGCTAAGATCCATCTGATATCAGCAATGATGTTCCTCATTCCATGTCCTCTTCTGAATCCAGCTTGCATTTCTCGAAGTTCTCTGTCAACATACTGCTGCACCTGTTTTTGAATTATCTTCAGTAAGATTTTACTTGTGTGTGATATTTATGATATTCGACAATTTCCACATTCCATGGAGTCATCTTTCTTTGGAATGGGTACAAATAGGGATCTCTTCTGCTGTTACCAGCACAACAAATGGTCACTTTACAGAGACAGTAAGAGAATGAGAAGAGATAGAAAGAGAGGAGGCTTAGCTAAGGTGTCTCCGTATAAACCCCGGAGCGGAGGGGCAAAGCCACACTGTTATGCCATATGCCTCAAGTGGGAACGGAAGGAACACATCAAGCCTTTTGCTGGAATGTGTCCACTTTATTATAATTATGCTCAAACTTATATACAGGTTTAACATGGGAAAAGTGCATGATTCATATGTCATACAATCAATCACAAGTTAATC